GCGAGGCCAAGTCCAGCTCCGCTCTCCTGCTGCAGCTGACATGGTTGAACTTCTCGATGCACTCATCGATCAGGGCCGGGGGGGCCTTCTTGTGCGCCACGGTGACCCGGCCGCAGAAGAGCACCTCGAACTTCTTGGAGAAGGTGTCGTCAAACTCCGAGGGGCAATGGAGCTCCTCCTGGCGGGCAATCCTCCCGGCCTGGCGAATGGAGCTGATGATCTCCGGCACCTGCACAGAGAGGAGGGGGTGTTATTTGGCACACGCAGTAGAGTGCACACACACACACACGTGCACAAGAAGCCAACATCGTGCTCTCCCCTGGGCTCCGCTGCACACTCCATCACATGGTACCAAGAGGGTTCTGCAGGGAACCGGTCCATTCCTTTTCTGGCATTTGTCTCAGTCAGTTTACCAGACTTCTAGAAAAAGAAGTTTGCCCTCCTCCCAAGCACAACTTTCACACAGAAGAGGAACGGTATTTATTAAGCACCTCTTACATCCGAGGGGCTACACTAGAGGGTTCACATACCCACAACACCCCACAAGGTTAAGTCAATTGGCCCACTATGCGCAGCCAGCATAGCAAGCCTTGGAATCAACTGCAGGCTGGTCCTACACCAAAGCCAAAGGTCGGCTCTGGAGAAGCTGTCACCACCACCCTGAGTTTCACCTCCAATGTGGCTCACCAAAATACTACTCAGTTGCTCTAGATCTCATGGCAGTGTACCTTGGAAAGTCATCCACAATAAATGGTTGGTATGAAGATGACACGACTAGACTGAAATAATCTTACAAAACATTTCTTCAAATCACAACATCATTATTTTCTTCAATGACAGCTGACCATTTATTGCTGAGTCCTGTATTTTCTCACAGTTGGATAGCACTCACTGCAGAGCTTGGAGGTTTTAATCAAGGAGTAAGCAACCACAACAGTATCATTAACCAGCGACACACTGGAGCTCCTACCCACGGAGACTCCAAAGCCTTTGGGTTCAATGTAAAGTGACAATCAAGAGAATGAACAAAATGCTCTTGTGCGCTATCGTCGCCCCAGTGCTACACCCTCTCATCACTAGCTTGGGAGGAGATCCTTCAGAGTTCAGAGCAGCAGCAGAGATGAATCTGTCACTGCAGGGGGTACAATCATCCGGATGATGTACACACAGGCACACGCTAAAACAAGACAAGCATGGATTCTACCTCCATAAGGAAGTGCCTAGTTACTGTCAGGACCTAACACCCATAGCAATTTTTTTCCCTTTTTTCTATGTTAGGTAATTCAGTTTAAAGTCTAATACCTATAGGCCCAATGTCATTTAACAACATTATGGGGGGGGGGGGAGAACCTTTTCAACTCAGGTCAAAGATCAATACATACAGTAAAGAAAAGTGGTTTTAATAGATTTTAAAACTATGCTTATATTCTGGGCTCATGACATAATCCCCAAAGTCCCAATGACTCAAAAGATTTATCTCTTGTGATTTCATATCAAGCACATCCTAAAGGCAATCTCTCTGCCATAAAGGTTATGATATATGCTTTCAAGGTATTTTATCATATAAAGAATCAAAATACCTTTAGAAATATTAAATTTTAAAAATTGGTTTCAGAAGTACAAGACCTAAATGATACTAAGTAAATTGAAATGTCAACAGACATCAAACATCCATCTGCACTATCTGCTTGTGCTGTAGCTCACTCTTCTACTGCCAAATAATTATATAGCATACAGAGGCCTCAAGATTGCTCATCAATATGAAAAAAGGCAGGACAAAGAAGAGAGAGGTAGAAGTCTAGGTTTCATTCACACTTTCGCCAACAAGTCACCAAAGAACCTCAGCAATGACAGCCTCAGTTCTCTCTTTGGGGGGGGGGGAGCTTATTAAAAGTTGTTTCTGTGAGGTAAACAATAATGATGTTTTTCAAAGAAAAATAACCAATTTCTGCAAGTAAGGAACCTTGTCGCTCTTCTGAGCGAGTGTGTGGAATTATTTTATCAGGAGTCACGTGAGCCTTCCCAATTATTAACGCCCCTCTCTGAACAGAAAATTCAAAGCTTACCAGTCTTTGAGGTTAAAATAACTGACACTTCTGTATGCTGGGTCATCCGCTGCATCTGAAGTGAGTAATGGTGCCTTTCATTACGTATCAAAGGAGAGAGAAAATGTGTGAAGTCGCATACATTTATGATGACTCAGCAATAAGTGGCACAGACACGAGTAAGACACAAAGCAGAGAACTTGGCCGTTCCCTCGATTCACAGGATCAAAGAAGCTTGGTCAGGGTTGAGCTGCGGTAGCTTTTCCAACCACCAACTTCTTCTATACTTTAATCAGAATCCTAAAATGACATGTTATAGTCCAAGACCAGGGCCTGCCTCTCCTTGCTCTGGTGTGCTATGTGTAATGTGGGTAGAAAGGAGGTAATTGGGGTTAGAAAAATCACTGGGATCCTGACCAGAAGAATATAACAATTTCAGAATATTTGAAGGCATATTGCCCATAGTTTCAACAAGAAATCATAAATAGTTAAAAATCTAATGTTTAAAGATTATTATAAATCATTCAAGTATACTAAGAGACTACTTAAATTTAAAAAATAGGTTCCAAATGTGTGTAACTGTGTAAAACTCTATTGACTGTTTTGTTCCCTTTACCAGAACAGACCTGGGCGCTGCTTTCTGAAAGGTGAGGGTACAATGTCCACTTGTGGGGAAATCTCGAATTCTCCATTCTTTATAACTCTGTCCAGGACTCACCTGCACTGTTACTTGTTACATGAGAGAACTGGATCATTTACTTCATTTATTTCCAAACATTTTTCCAGGTATGACTCCATGCCAGGAGGCAGCGGTTCAGGAGTGTGAGGGGAATGCAAGGAGGCCCTGCCTGGGAAGGGAGTGGAGTACCGAGTAACTGACATGGGGTCTGCTGGGACCTGAACTAAGAACCAAGCACTGAAGATCGAGAGAAAGGATGAATGGAAGATTCTGAAAGACAGAATCCAAAGGACTTAATGATCACCTGGAAGGAGGAGGTGAGTGAACTGAAGACTGCATGTGACTTGCAGAGCTCTGGCTTAGACTTCTTGGTGGATGGCTGTGCCATTAGCCCAAGTCAGGAAAACAGAGGAGAAGCAGGTCTGGGGAGCTATTACAATGAGTTCTGCTTTTGTACATGTTGAGTAAGACCAGGGGGACCTGAGGTAAAGGCATCTAGTGGGCAGACGGACAAATGGGCCTGGCCCTAAGACAGGAGATCTAGATTCAGATGTCGACAGCTCATACACAGGAGGTAGCTGACACCTTGGAAAGAGAAAAAGGGAAAGTAAAGGAAGGGAGCAAAGATGGGACCTTAGGATATACCAACATTTCAGGCAGAGAAGTGGGAAGGAAGGCAGGAAAGGATGATGTCTGAGGTCCAAGGGAAGCCAGGACTCTGGTGTCCAGGAAGGGAGAAGAGGCGACTGAGAATAAACCGAGGGCTGAGGCAGGTCTGCTGGAGCTGGCAGCTTACAGAGATATGTAAAAAAAGGGGGGACTGCCAATACTTACCCCCAAAAGAAGCAAACTTAACTGAAAAACGTCTCAAGGTGAAACTTCAGTCTCTACAAGAACATATACTTCAAGATACAATATTTACAAACATACAGACCCTTTCAGGCAAACACGCTGAGGCCAGCGGAATTTATTCCCACTGATATGATCTGGGTACTTTTAACAAAAATCTTTTTTTAGTTTAGTCACAGCAATAATATCTACGTCATTTCTGACTGCAGATAAGCAGATAAAGTAAATCAAAATTAACCAAAGCAAAAACAAGAATCTGAAAAACATTTTACTGGAATAAATTCAAGAAGAGTTTGAGATTTGGTTTTATTTCTTTTTACTTTGGGACTCGCAACAAAAAGGAATCATCAATAATAAAGAGGCCCTGTTTAGATATGAAATTTTACTGAACTACTCTTCTGCTGACCTATTTGAGTTTATACTAAAGCTCAACTGTAATGTAAATCTGCACTTATTTCAAACCAAAACAAGTTTCTTTCGAGTTCACATACTAACAAATGCATGGTGTAGTATGAAGTTTCTGCAGCAGGCTTAAGTGAATATCATTGTTACTCAGTATCCGGAAGATGATACCCTAAGAGAGTCAGAAATACTCATTTCTATAAATAAAATCTCTATTTAAACATTTGGGTCAACTTTCTTTTTAAGGATTTAGGGATTTTAAAGGATTATAAACACACTGCGAGGTGTAATTTTATTCACAAGAACTTAGGAGCCCTGAGACAATATTTGGAATGAAAAGTCATTTTATTTTACATTTACAGTGTTTGTCTGTCCACTGGTAACAAATAAATATTAAATGAATCTAAAGAAGCACGTATTTGTATTTTAAATTCTAGCACTTTTTCCTGTTATTTAACATTAAAACATTCCAAAACTGCAAAAATATGACAGGCAACACTGTACTCTGTCCCTTGGATGAAATGTTCCCCCACTGCCAGGCGTTAAAACAAGCACTTCAAACAGGAAATAATTATTCAGCAGTTACATTCCAGAAAGAACAGCCTTGGGTTTTGTTTTTGTTGGTAATTAGTGGCAGTTTTTTATTTGTTGGTGATAAACAAGGTAAATAGGGGAAGGAAACTAAATTAAACCAAGTATTTCTTCACTCCATATTACATGCCTTGAATTCCACACAAAATACTAAAGAACATTTCTTCATCTAAAGAGAATAAAAGACCTGTCTGACAGTATCTAGACAGGACACGTGTGAGCATCTGTATCCAACAATGCAACCTGTTGAGATAAGATTCAACACAAAGATGTGAATACACCTCATACAATGAGTAATCTGTGATTCCCCCGACCTTATGCGGCTTGAGGTGCAGGAGGTAAGAGACACGTCTAAATATGTGATTTTTCAATATAATGTGATAGACGCAGGAACACAAACGGGAGCGAGGCACAGCATGTGTGCTGGAGACGGCTGTCCCGAGCAGAGGTCTGTCTGCCTTGCCTGCCTGCCCTACCTCCTACTGAAGCCTCAGCTCCTGCTCTGCGCTTACAGTTAGCCACATGCCAGATTAATAGGCTACATCTTCCAAAAGAGAGATCAGATGTGCTCATCAGCTGGCTGAGGAAGCACCTGGCACATATGAAACGCTAATAACCGCTAGCCCCCACCACAGGCCCACACACCCTCATTCATCACTATTT